TGATGATTTTGAAAATGCCTTGAAATAAGGTCCTGTCCCCCGAGCTTCAACCAAAACTAGGTACATTTGAAATAGCCAAGAATTTGCTCAAATGGATCACGGATTTCTTTGTTAGTCGGGTACAGAATAAGAACCAGTTATAAAGCCTCATATTGGGAGTCAGTACACAGCGAGTTCTCGCTTTGTACTGAAGTCAAAATGACGACATGCAGGAGAGAATGAAGATAAACGAGTCCTTAAAGCTGATCTCAGTATCTTGATTAACCAATGTGTGACATAATTAGTGCCAATGAAGGTAGATAACCGTATCCGCATGAACATCAGAAATATAGCACACAAACTTATGAAACTGTCGAAACACCTCAGCCCTTAGATCTCATCCATATCTTAAGGACTACAGTAAGATGTAGCTTGACACGAGACCAAGTTGGTCACATTCAGATCCCTCCTACACCTCCTAATAACACTCTTATCTCCACGACTAACCCTTCTCACGTCCTTTTATCGCCTCGCACCGCTAGGGCAAACGATTCGAGTACACGGAACGTTATTCCTGGTCTCCTGAAACCACGCTCTAAACTACATGTAGGAACTTTTAACGTCCGAACATTGTGCCAAATAAGACAACAGGCCTCCTTAGCTAGGACTTTAGAATCTCGCACCATCGATGTGTGCTGCATCTCCGAAACGCGCATACAAGATCCGAGTAGTGTCATTCACTTGACCTCACCATGTCATAATAAAGAACCAACTCGATTCACACTTCGTGTATCTAGAAGTCCTGATGCTGCTTCCCGTGGCCTCGCTGGCGTAGGTATAGCATTGAGTCCTAGGGCAGAACTAGCTCTTTTAGACTGGATCCCAGTAGACAGTCGTCTGTGCGCTGTCCGACTAAACGGATCAGTAAGGACCCGGAAAGATAGGGAAACTCGTCGTTGCCTCTTCGTCGTCTCTGCCTACTCTCCCACTGACTGCAGCTCAGACGATATAAAAGATGAGTTTTACATGAAACTTTCTGACCTTCTCCGAGAAGCTAGGCATTCTGATGTAGTAATAGTAGCAGGTGACTTTAATGCTCAAGTAGGTAAACTAAGTGAAAGGGAAAGACACCTGGGTGGATCTTATGGTGTCATGGCGAAAAGAACAGATAATGGCGACCGTCTGTTGCAGCTATGCTCAGATAACCGCCTATTTCTTGCAAATACTAACTTTAAGCATAAGGAAAAACATCTTTTGACATGGCGACCCCCGAATTCGTCCCAACGTTGGACCCAATTAGATCACATCGCTATCAGCCACCGATGGAGGGGCTCGATAGAAGACTGTCGCTCATTCTGGAACACATGTTTAGATTCAGATCATGCTCTAGTGCGAGCACGTATCTGTCTGCGTCTTACTGGTCGTAGGAAAGACACTGCAGGGAAGCCTCTAAGGGTTCTACTTAATGATAGGCAAGCTAAGAATATATTTCAGGAACAACTAGAAAAACAGTTAGGCAGCCATGTAAGTTGTATCCACCCCGAGGCAGCGTGGAATGACATCCGAAAAGCTGTGGAAACAGCAGTGATATCCGCTAGTAAGGTAAACCATAACGTTAGGGAGAAACAATGGATCTCAGCAGCATCTACCGCACTGATAGATGCTCGTAAACTCATCCCACCTGGCTCTGAAAATAACGAAGAGCGGAGTCAACTTAAGCGCAGGTTTATAAGAAGCCTACGTAATGATCGTGAACAGTGGTGGGTAGCGAAAGCAAGAGAGATGGAAAGGCAGCGGCAATAGGTAACAGTAGGCAACTATTTAGACTCGTTAAAGAAGCCGGCATTAGGAACCCGAATATCAGTGAAACCATCTCAGATAAGGATGGGCATATTATTCATTCTCATTCCAGGAGATTGGATCGATGGGCAGAACACTTTAGGGATCAGTTCAACTGGCCTTCAGCCACACTTCAATTACCCACGATCCCCAGTCGTCCCCAAATGCCCTGGTACGGCCGAGAGTGGGGAGAGTCTGCTCTCCCTCTCGAAATGCTCTCATATGGCCAGCGAATATATAGCCTCTGCCAGGGAAGTCCTACTCACTGCCTTCTCGTGGCGGGGGTGTTGTTCACAAAAGTGAGAGGACGAAAAGCGAATGTCCGGCGCTTTAACCGGGTTGGTGGATGTGGAGGATCCACCTAGGGGAGTTGGAAAACCCTGATTCCAAACCAATGGTGCACATGGGCTCCAGTATCCTGAAGGAACGAATGGCGTATAAACCAAGTGTTGGTCACCGGCTACCATGGGATTGCATCTCCTCACGATGCTCCACTGCCTTGTGGATCAGATCATTCGGTCAAAGGCTCCGGGTGTGGCCCCCTAAGAAAACCACCTGCTTCAGTTTGGGCAGTATCACAGCCCTCACACAAATGGAATGAGATTTGTGAGGCGCATATTTATCTGGTGCTTCTTTGTACCAATATTTATGTGTTTAAATAAATAAATAAATAAATCCAACCCTCTGCGAGGTTGAAAAAGCTGTAGGAAATCTGAAGCGAGGGAGAGCAGCAGGCCCTCACAGGTTTACTCCTGAGATTTTTAAGGATGGTGGTCCAGTACTAGCAACGAGATTGACTGAGGTCTCAGGCAGAATCTGAGAACTGGACGTAATTTCATTTGATTAGTCCCAACCACTGATTGTGCCAGTCTATAAGAAAGGACAAAAGTCCTCCTGTGACAATCACAGAGGAATCAGTTTGACTAATATAGTGTCTAAAATATTAGCTTCAGTAGTACTTCGACGCCCAACCAAAGCTCGTGAAGAGCAGACTAGAGAAAACCAAGCTGGTTTCCGACCTGGACGTGGTTGTATAGACTAGATATTCACTCTACGTTAGGTCCTAAAACAGATACACATTCAGACACCCCACAATCTTAGTATTTCTCGACCTTAAGGCGGCATGTGACTCCGTTGATCGTGAGGTTCTATGGCAGTGTTTGTCACTGAAAGGAGTACCAAAGAAGTACATTAATCTTATAAAGGTTCTCTACTAGAACACAACTGATTGAGTTTGAGCTTATGGGAACTGTCATCAGAATTGATTACCTCAAGTGATGTTCGTCAGGGCTTTCCAATATCTCCATTCTTGTTTAACTTTGTCGTTGACATGCTTTTAGAGATAACACTTTCGTCATCTAAATCTCCAGGAGTTGGACTTTTACCAGGAGACTCACTTGTTGACTTAGAATACACCGACGACATAGTTCTATTTGGTGAAGACGCTGACAAAATGCAGTCTTCTGACCACTATAAGCAACAATACAGGCATGTTCGGGATGCGATTCTCCCCCTCGAAGTGCAAAATGTTACTTCAGGATTGGGTTGCATCGACACCTGAACTAATGATAGGGAGTGAAGTAGTTGAGCGTGTTGACCGCTTCACTTATCTTGGGAGTTTCATCAGCCTTTGTGGTCTGGTGTTTGACGAAGTCTCGGCACGGATACAGAAGGCTCGACTAGCTTTCGCCAACTTGCGTCATTTATGGCGCAGGCGAGATATCTGTCTAGCAAGCAAAGGACGGGTTTACTGTGCAGCAGTTCGTTCCGTTTTGTACGTACGTACGAAGTTCTACGTTGTGACTGACTGGCTGAGCTTGACAATTAAGTCATTTGGTTACAGTCAAGAGATTCTAATACAGTATGTAAATTGGAAACTCGAAGAAACCAGTACATGTGTACTACTCTTCAAATAACATTGGTGAGATCTAAAATGAAAAGGTGTGGCGATCTAAATCTCCTCATAAAGAGGTTAAGAGGACCGTTACAAGTAAAATTATTGAGATACCTGAGCAACTGTACAATGGATGGTCCCGAAAGTTGAGTATTTTCAAATTACCCCACTGTCCGTTACTTACTTATTATGCAAAGAATATTAATAAATGACTTCAAACTTGGTAGGTTTCGTCCTTATCCTTCAACCATCTAAGAACGACTCAGAGGACAAAGCAAGTGAGTTCAGAAGGCAAGAACGAACCGTATCCATAGGGCACAGGCTTTAAATCGAGTAACAAACTATTAAGGATAAATGTGCTTGGAAATTTGATCGATTCACTACTTAGATGGGATTAACACTAGTAACTGGTCTCTTGTCCACCAACCACCAATTTAAATCCAATTTCTGTAAACGTACTTAAAAATGAACGATATCAGGAGCTAACTGTGCAATTTCTGTTGGCTATAGGAAGACTGTCCGGAAATAAGGGAGAAATTTGAAAGTGTAAAGTGTTAAGCCAGCTTGCCTTTCATTTTTACAGCGATCTTTATGTGATATCAAACAGATAAGTCAATCTGGTCAGTAAGCTTTTTTGAGAAAAAACACTTTACTGAAGAGATCTAAGGCACATAGAAGTGTAAAAGCCAGGAAAACGGGTACGAAAGTACTTAGCATTATATAATACATTAATTTACTTTCCTTCGTCTGTTATATTACTAAGTGTTGCTTCAATAGAACACGAGGCTTTCTTCGATAGTTTTGAGATTACTTCATAGAAACTGTCAAGCTATTTCATCAGGACAGACTAGATGTGTTATTTTTTATGAGTATTTCGTGTAATCAGTAATGTACTGCACACTGTTTCGCTACATGAGCCTCCACAATATACAGCTGCTGAGGTGGCTGAAAAAGCTTTCAAATACAATATTCTAGGTGTAAGCTGCTTAAAATACGTCAGTAGAAGTGAAAAAGCGTAGTCAGCGGAGAAATGTTCCAGCTTTACGGGTTTAATGAAGGAATATCTATGGAGGCTCATATAGAGGTATTTAGCCGTGTTAAAGACAAGACGCCATACAACCTGATTCGTTGGTTGAAACACATGGATTTGTGTACAATGACAACACAATGTGCGTTCCAAGTCGTTGCTCAAGAACTGTAAACTTAGTCAGAAAGTTATCTAAACTTCCAAAATCTATATAGTAGTCGGCCATCTTGAATAATGATCGTATATATCAACTGGACTTACCCCCGACTCTGTACATATTATTGGATGCCATTGGGATTCCGTCAGTTGTGTAAATGACAGCTATTTACAAGTAGTCCACGAAGGATTCGAATAAACCCTGAAATTCAGAGGGATGCCAGATTCAGAAGTTGATAATCCAGTGCGCGAACGAACAGTTGATCCCTAATCCGCGTCTGTGTGAGAGCTGTGTGTATGCACGTGCGTGTGCGGATGTATGTGTGTCGTGCGTGTGTATATGCACGTATGTCACTAAGTCTATTGAGCTTTTTAGAGGGGTCGGTGTGTACGTTTGTTTTTGGATTTAGGTGCGTTAATTGTGCCCAATTCACATTCAAACGTCGTCTTATGAAGTAGCAACCCGTTCTAAACTCAACATAATCTGAAACTTTGGTTTTTTCTGAGGAAATTCTATTCAGATGGATGATTGTTGTTTTAGATGCAAGCCAAGTAACCTCAATGATATTTTAAGATCCAAAATATTAAGGTATGGTATATTTTTGTAAGGGTATCAAAATGGATATCGTTTTGAAGTAAAAATTCTGATCTGCCTGATTATCATGTTCGCTTTTAAAATTTTTAAGACGTTAATGAGATTTTATTAAAAACAAAAACTAATATGACTTATTTATTGAAAAAGTGTGTGTATAGAGGCCGATTAAGAAAAATAACTTGATTTCTAACATTGTCGCACTGATTAATTTTTGTTGCTAAACTTTTTAAGGTGGTGGACGATGTAGGATCTGTTCTCATAGGCATAAGCGACCTTGTTCATCAATTTTATACCGCTCATTCATACCTTACACTCATATTATACAGTTAGATGAAGCTCTGAAGAATATTACATGGGGTAGTTCATTGTCTTTAGTATCTTTTCATGTTAAATTATAAATCCCAATGAATATTTTGGACCAAAGATATTACTTGTTACAATGCTCCTAATATTGTTTTCGTTTAACCTCATTAATGCATCGATTAATAAGATTATTCGGTTTTCTTGTTCCCAGTACGAGATAAACGAAAGTAATGTTTGCCTTTCGATAGATTCAGAGTATACAGTTTCACATACTACTCACCACTCACTTAATATACTACTAATTTTGTGACGTGTAGACGGGTCAACTATTCTATTCATGTCTATACAATAAACCAGTATTCTGAACAGTATATTAGCAGTTTCCTTTATCAGTAGTCGGAAAAATACCAATGACCAGAGAGGTTTAGAAAACATTCTATATTTAATACTGAGCAACTCATTATTTGACATCGCTAATTCCGTCTGATATTAAAGATCTAATGTTTACGTCACACTATGTCTACAATTTCAAGTACAGACTAGAGGGATAATGAATCTACTCATAAAACTATTTTAATTAATCGAAAACATGAAAACTTAATTCATTCCTAAATTTAACACTTTTCACATGAATATCAATAGTAACGAGTGGTACATTGCTTTGAGTAAGTTACTGATATTAACTATCCAACTTTTTGTTTGAAAAAGCTTGGACCAGATTGCCAGGCGAAACTTTGGATTTACTACAAATTCATCCGCTGAGACTTTACAAATATATTATTCCTAATTAATGTCTTTTTAAAACACGAAGTTCAGCGAAGGGATCTCTTTTAAACGAATTTATTATCAAGCTGTACAATCGTATATGTATATCAAAATGTTTTATTAAAGTTCGTGTTTTAATTTTAATGTTTAAATGGGAATGATAAACTAATGTCTTTTTGTTTGTTTTGTTTCAGAGAACATAGAGTTATCGCATATTTTATTTGGATGTAATTAATGAGTAAACAAAGATCAGGTGAATAATCTAGAGATTAGTACTTCTATGGATACCATAATCTTGAGTCAATAACGTCAGGCAACAATCATTATCTCTTTTAGTTTAACTACTCATGAGTAGCTGAATTTTATTGCTGAGTTTTTTTAAAGTACCGCTATCAAGGGATCGTTTATGCTGCAAATTCACTATGAATAATACAACAATAAAATACTTAAAGAATTTTCTAAAACTATGTTAAAAAGTTTCAAATAATAATTTAAACTTTCTACAACTATTTCAATCTTATTTTTCAATTCTCATCGATATAAATACCATCACCAGGTAACGACAATTTAGATTTGAAAAGATTGATTACACAACATTCGTTCATAAAATAAATGCTGCTTTGAAATAAAGGCAAAGCTTGAAAATCAATCTATTTAATAAGTAGTAGATATTTCTTTGATTAATGGAATAATATGTCTATAGGATGTTAAAAATGATTTAATTTTGATTTATCCTGTGGATTATGTCTAGTTTTCGAAGCGATCGAACCTAAATATATGAATAAATAAGTTCGTACCCATTTAAACTAATGTTTGGTTTAGATCGTAATATCTCTAAATGATACAAGAAAATTTAATCAGTGAAAGGAATATTTTTTGTCGATCTGAAAGATTTTTGAGACTAAGATTCTTCCATTTGTTTTATTTTGGGGATAACACCTAACATCAGATTTCTGTTTCCTTGTAAAAAATTGATTAGCAGTCAACAGCCACAAAAGATTAATACATCTCTTATTCTGATGCCACTGAAGTCTCATTCTACCGGCTAACAATAGATATTTAGGTAAGTGAAACAAATATTTTCATCTCTTCAGTATATCTACAGATATATTCATTTAATCGTAACACTATTTATATACATTTCAAATATTTGTTTATGGATTAGTTGAATAAAATCTGTCAAGCATGCACATATGTCATTAAGAGACTGATCAGTTGCAGCTCTAAACATTAATCGGTAGATCCAAACGACTAGTGCAAAATTGATAATAAAATTTGCTTTAAATTAACAATCAGTAATAATGTAAATATGTAAATAAGTAATGTATCATTTTATTTCATTCCATAAATTCTGGGTTCAATAATATTCTTGTGTTTTTCGATGATTTATTTCCAGATATGCTTACACAATTTTATTGAGATGTTGTTATTATTATGGTCAACTAAGTTGTGATTAAAGCAGCCACCTTCATTGACATCTGGTAATTGTCCCGTTGCATTTAATTTGGAAAATGAGCTTGAACTAGTTGCGGTATAATATCTTACTTATTTTAAGGGCTAATTTATTTTTATATAAGGTGGTGAACGGACATTATCATTTAATTGTTGTTTTACCTAGGACTTGGATTTTTGCTATACCCCGTACAATTTGAGCAATCGAACGCTAGAACCCTCCAAGTCGCAAGTTAGAAGACAGAAGACGAGTAGGGAGGAATCTTATCCCAAACAGTGTCAAATATGGTACAAAGCTCCTAGGTATTTATAGTTTATAGTAAAAACGAAATAATCATTACAGTCATCCAATCCGCATGCAGTGGCTTTTGGCATTTGTCCAGTCGGAAAGCTACTCGTCAAAATTCTGGAATGTTCTTCCAGAAGACGATTACATGGAATGTCTTCGGCTCTTTCTGAGCTTCTTACAGTTTCCTTGAGTTCACTGAGACCCGTCTCCACAGTTGTAAATAACAATGAAATATTTGTGGAATTCCCCACGTTTCAGTAACGTTCCAGTAAATATCAATTCTTTGTTAAAAATTATCTTTATAGTACTACAATGAGTTTTAAGTACAAAGTAATGAACGCTTAAATTAAACTTGTACCGTTAGTTGTTTTGATGCATCTGTATGATCACGTAAAATTTTGTACGATTCTACATTGTATCCAATTCAAATCAATATGTTTATAAGTCACATTTAATTACCTACGTACTCAAAAATAATTCAATTGAGATCCCTCATTACATTTTTGACTAATTAATTCCATAGGACTTATTTGAATGACATGGTATTTGATGTCCTATACAACAGTATGATGATTGCGAAATTCGTTAATAACTTTAACTGAAAACATGAATACACATGTGATCAGAAATCGAAGGTAGTTTGTAAAACTATCATTTATGACCGACTTGTACTCTGACAGACTTAAAAATAATTTCATATATTAATTGGTATAGGTTACTGTTTTATTTCAGCCTGTCATAGACTTCAATCTAGTTTGGAGGCAAGTTACGGGCAGATAAAGTGTGATGAGTAGAGTGTATGGGAGAGTTTGAAAGATAAAAGAACAACAGAAAAGTTGAACCTACAACTCGGTAGACATAAAGGATGCACTTGCATTTAATAATGAAAGGGATCGACAACAATTGATAGTAACACATGGATGAGGTTAAAACGATCAGATAATCGAAAATGCGAGTTGAACATATGAGATTTCAAATCCGTTACTGGCTTACTTGTGACATTTAGTTAAATAAGATAAATGTTGAACTCAACACAACAGCCATTTAATTATTTGCCACATATGACGAGTTAAATATTAAAATAATATGTATTAATTAAAGCCAGAATTAATAAACTCATGACCAAGTGATTGTGGGCTATACTGTTAATCACTAGTCAAAAGTAAAGACAAGTATTTGAAGTTACACACACTGAATATTAATAGAATATATTGATTTAATTGGTTAATGATACATAAATCATTTTATATTAGTTGAAAATCTAATACAAATGAAAACTAGAACTGAACAGCCATTTAATAATCCCTGGTTCTCAATAATCATTGTGTTTATTTAAATCAACGAGCATTAAAAAAATGCTATTTATATCAGACTCATCTACACCATCTAAATAAATTATAAGCAACTATTTATTAATAGTATGCTCTGATAAGGAGTTTCTTATATTTTAGTTTAAGAGCTCTGATTATGATGTTGACCAAATGAGAGAGTTCAAATAAATAAATACCAATAATAACGATTTGTATTTGTATTGTATCCTGAAATGAATGAGTTAGAAACATAGGAATTATTAGCTGAACAATATCATGTTCACTTAGTATTGTTTGTTTGGATCTTCCCATCGATGTGTTTAGGACTGCAACTGGTCAGTCTCTAATTGGCATATGTGCATACTGTACGTATTGCCTCGATATACCACCCCATCGCACAAGCAAGTGGCTATCAGGACTCAGTGGCCGAGTGGATAACGCGATGGCGTTTGAAGCGAGGGTACTGGGTTCGAGTCCCGGAGTGAACATCAACTGTGAGATGCAGGTGCATCCAGCTGACGAGTCCCAAATAAGACGAAACGCGCGTCCTGGATTCCACTGCTAGCCACTATCCATCTCTGCTTACCATGCTTGTGAATATCATGTTATTTAAAATATTTGAATGTGTTGGGTACAATCCATTATTGAATTAATAGTATGCAGATTTAGTGAGTTCCAAGTATTGTCAAAACAACTGCGCAATATTCCAAAATTGTTTGTGGTTCTTCAACTCATAATTTTTCTTGACAAAATACCTATACGGACCCAATATTGTCATTTCTTTTACGTTATTATCGTTAATTTCTGAATTTCGACAAGCAAACGTATCACCTGACCTGTCAAGTGTAATCATAGATTAAATGTATTTTGTTTAAATGTTGGTTGTAAGGTGTCCATTTCAGTAATCTGAAAGGTAGAAGTGTACCAGCAGACAAATTGTGGCCAGTTGTTTATTGGATATTTTAAATATATAAATCTTAAAGATCATAATCAAATGACCGTCATAAGATTTGTTTACCAGAATATATTTAACGAAGTGAAAATTTAAACTTTTTCACGTGAACCAGTAATTTGTTCAACCCTATAACCTCAAATGTAATCGACTGTCTTCTGTAATCTTGTCCATACACTGTGTGCGTGTATTCGCACTAAGTTGTTTGATGAGTTGATCTCTAAACCTGCCATTGGGTGTCTAGTTTTTACTAACTGACAGATACAGCCTACACTACCAAGTAAATTTTATTCTAGCTGATGTGAATATCAGACTTTTATTGATTCTCCTGAGACCTTACAAACTCCTCAGTTTAAAGTATTTTAGTACTTCTAAACCAATTTGTTTATATTTATCAACACACGGTCATACTAATGACAAAATTTCGTATCAATTTACTGTGACACGTGTTATCGGCGTTTATTTGGAAGCAGAAGAGATCTAAAACAGCAGCACAAAATCGAGATAAGTGAATATCTGAGTGGCAAGAACACAACGTTCTAGCACAACGCATATATATTTCAAAAATCGAATAGCGCGGCTTCGAGTACGAAAGGGGAAAACTTATTACAAAGTAGCCTCATCCATCATTTTGCAGATCCGTCTCATGATTTTCAACTTTGGACTTGACATCGGGCCCCTGGGAGGCTCAGATACACCTGTAGGGTAACTGAATATCGAACAGCTCATTGATCCCTGTCAAGATCAATGATTGTCAACGCACACCAGTCAATCTTATGCCATGGACTGGCCCACGTGACAGTAGTTGTTCTTTCACTTCTGTATTTTCGTGGGTGTACCTTAACTAATATATTCTTGTAATAACGTCCTTCGTGTTGTACAGTCTCCATAGCGTCCATGATCCATTGATGCGTTGATGGTTCAATCCACGTAAGGTCTGGTCGCGAGGTGTGACTTCAGCGTTAGTTGGTTCGTCACCATTCTCGTCTAACTATAGTAGGCACTCAATCATTTTGACATAGATCATCAACGTAGATGATCCTACACACCCAAAGGACAGATCTAGGATATCATTTGTGATTCCAACCGGGTTGTACAACTTCCGGGGAATGCCTTTCCTTAAGTATATAGTCCTCGAGTTGTGTTTAGTTTACATGGACCACATTTCACCTTCAGGAAGCACATCTACTATCTTCAGCTAGTGTCACAGAGGCTTAATTATGTTGGGTTAAGAATCTAACCTAGCAAATGCAACCTACCGCGTAAAGAAATACGTTTTTAGGTTATATGATCGAGTCTCATGGAGATTCCAGCAATCCTTAAAAAGTGACTGTCATAAAGAGTTGACTTATACTAACGTCATCTGATGAAGCAGGCTGTTTCGTCTGTCTGACAGATCACTACAGATGTTCAGTAAAAAACGATGCAGTAGTAACTAGCCCTGCAGCGCATTCGACAGAACAAGACAAAATCTGAGCGGCCAGAAAATTACAACAAAGCTCTCATTTTCTCGAAAGACACCCTCTGTTCATATCCTGCATCAACACTGCCCAATGTTTAGACCAAGTGGGGTGAGTACATCCTGGGTACACAAGTAAGCGAAGTAGAAATCGGACTTGTTTTATCCCAGATTGGGTTCAACAGCAAAGAGCACATTGTTGAGTATGAAATTCAGACATTAAACGAGTCTGAAAAGAATCACCATGTTACGTGAGAAAAATGCTGCCTGTCGTGAAATTAATATGAAAATACAAACCGTACCCTCTTGTCAGACATAAGATACTACGAAGTGACCATAAAGCGAGTTAAACTATCTAGTAATAGTTTCGATTCCGAAAGGTTGTCTTAATGTGAGGCCTGCATTATTGCTGACTTCCTTTTATTGCATTCCCTAACAGAAGAAAATGAACTATGAGGTCTTGACACGTTGTTGACTCTCATTTTTTTTCGTTCCTCTCTTCCAGATCTCTTTACTCAACCTATTCTGCATGCTCCCTCGGTATACAAAGTATATATTGGTTGGCTGCTTGGAAGAAATCACGGTTCTAAACTAATATTGATCGGTTAGCAGTTTGGTTCGAGTTTACAGTTCTGAACAAATATCCTTTGGTCGGTTTCTTGGCTATCGTGTTGTGCATTTCAAACTTGGTCCCCTGAAATTTGGTCGCTTCGTTCGAGATGACAAAACTTCGTCAAAAGAAGATAATTTCCAAGCTCGATGGTGCTGATGGACCCAAATTAAGCGGCGAATCCCTTTGTACAGAGCAAGTGCCTTCTGATATCTTTATGTCTTATGGTTCAGATACAGTTAGGGCTAATTATAATGATAGTGATTCTGGTTGTTAGTTGATTGAAGATCAGCTAAAAAAATTTACTTTAGACAATAAGCGAAGGTCTAAGTATTCTCTTTCAAATAGACACTCTTCTAGACCAAAGAATTCAGAAGGAAGGACTAATGGGTTAGATCATTCCAGAACTATATGTGTAAGAAACATTTTGTCTAAGTTAAGTGCCGATGTTGTTGAACAATTTTTGTACCGGGAACTAGGAAAATATGGAGATCTTTCTATTAATGTTGGGCATTTGGGTGGTAAACGCGTCGTTCTGGTTAGCTATTGATATTCTGAAGACGCACAAGAAGCGCTCCGTTATAGCCCAACAATATACATATTTGATCGTCCTGCAAATGTTACCTCATTAATTGATATTTCTAATGAGCGTGATACGCGTAAAGTAATTGCCAGCGAAAAACGTCAAGAAGGAATGGAAGCTGAAGATAATAATGACCTACGACATCATATGCACAATTTCACCGGCAAAGTAGAGTCCATTTCCCCCGATTTTTTACCTAAACCAGCTCCACTAGGTCCATCAGGTACTACAAGCTTACTTGGTATGCCTGGAAGGGCATCTTCTGCCATGATGGCTGCTGCTTTCAAAGGCTCTGAATCTGAATGCTGTCCCTGGGGTGTTGCCACCAACACAGTTAAATATAATCACTTCTCACCATCATTATGGCTCTGCAAACCTTCGACACTATGAACATAACAAAAGTGGGTTCTCTACTGGAGCATCCGATAAAGAAAAAGAGTCTAAAGCTACAAGGACTTTATTTGTTTGAAGTTTAGAACCAGATATAACGGAAAAAGAGGTACTCTCAGCTTTTGAGAGGTATGGTTATGTTGAACAAATTAATAATAAGCGTTCTCCGAAACCTGGTGCTCTTTCTTATGCATTTGTATGCTTTCAAAATGTTGTTATGGCCAGTCGTGCGAAAATGTCCATGTCTGGTCGTTTTATTAGATCCCTACATTGCAAAAAAGGTTATGGTAAGGCGATCCCATCGCACTGACTGTATATTGGTGGATTAGAATCGTGGACTTCCACTGATTCACTACCGCGTATGCTCTCTCGTTTCGGACAACTAACTTATCTTGATTGGTCTCCTAGACGAAAGTATGCAATCGCCGTTTATGACAGCTGTGAATCAGCACTCGAAGCAAATAGACAATTGAAAAAATTGGCCGATCTTGAGTCGTGGATTAAATGCCCTACTTTACTGAATGCCGAGTTCGGTAGAACTATTACCGATTGTCAGCAAACTATTCCTGACAATATTGAGTTCAGAAAAACTGCTGTGGTTAATTTGAGCACAGTGAATTATGACAAGCTTCCTATTGTTTCTTATTACTCCGACTGGTTAAGATTAGTCAGGGCAGTAGCGTGGTTAGGAAGGTTCATCGAATATTGGATGATACTTAGTTCATCGAGTCGCGAAGGATCTGTTCATTTAGGACGCCTGAAGGTCGAAGAGCTCGAAAGTGCTAGGCGTAAAGTCTTAATGATAGTTCAGAAAGAGGTCTATGGAAGTTTACTCAGTAAATTTAAGAACAACAGTAAGGTAAATAGTCATACACAGCGTTACACTTGTGATAAAGGAGGTGAACTTGCTAGTGATCTAAGTTGGCAGAATAATGGTGTTATATTGGTCAATCTTAAGGCCAAGGTGCTTAAATGTGAAAAAGTATATGGATGAGTCATCACGATCTGGTGAATGCTCAACCTAGAAAGGTACTTTTGAAACCGTTGCTGGGAGCTTACCTGAAAAATCATTGAATAAGGTTCCTTTAGAGAATTAAATGACGTGTTATTGAGTTCGTTCGAACAAGATTGTATTTTCAGTGATCCCACAGAATAAAATAATGACGGGAAATTCAAACCAGATTCGAATCGTGAAGGGCTAGTTAAAAGGATTGACGAATATAATCATAAAGTCACGTGGCTCTTAGATAAAAGTTAGCATTCAAAGCAGCAGAGAAATTCAAGAAATGACGTTGGTATACACCAAGACACTTTGGAGCCATTTTCCAATCGTCCGTCTTGTTATGACGGGTATGTTTTTAGAATGAACTAACTTGAGTATTGCACATTCTGCTTGGCTACAATGGAAAATAGGAACAAACATACATTTAAGGTACATAACTAAGCAGTCAGACAATCAAGGAAAGTACTAAACTAATATATTTTTTAAATTACCAAGTGCTTTAAGGTCATATAAATTTAAAGAATTTTAGTCGTTCATCGAAGAGTTGTGGAAGGAAACTTCAGACCCTAGTACATTATTTACTCGTCAAGATTACGTATTTATTTATCAACATATCTATCTCAAGTATCATAAAATAACTGGTTTCAGCTGTTGATACAGTATGACTTGTAGATTATCCCTACTTTGCTACCATATTCAAAGACTAATGTGTTAAATTAATTGCATCAGTGAGATCTGACAAATTATTTCATAAAATTATTAAATAATCCCTGAAATGAAAACAATACGTAGAAAATCGTTCCGAAACGTTTTATTGAACAGTACCGTTATTTCGCTATTCTTTTCACCTGTCTTGTGATTCCACTTTTGCTTAGGTCTCTTGTAATCGTTTTTCATGTGCTTCAGTCTTCTTTGTTTGAACTGTTGTTTTCCAGCTTTAATTAAAGATTTGTCTCATTTACTCGATTTTTCTATTGCATTGGCAATGAGATCGGGTTTGACTTAATTCAAGGTAACGGTATAGTTCAGTTTATGCTTGCTGACAACTTAAGGACTGCTGTAAACGATTACTCAGATTCTTGCGTGTAGATATTTGATCCGACCTTGGCAAAAATGCATTTATTGACTCTCAGGTACAGATTACTTATTTATTAATCATCCACGTTGCTGTTGTTCCGGAGAGACCTTCGACTGTACAGCACAGTCTGAACCATTCTAAATATTTCTTACTTTCGATATGATTTATTTTATTTCCCAAATCAGAACTGTCTAAATTGATCACAGGGTTTGTGTTTTGTTATAATTTAATGCGAGTCAATCGAAAGTGCTTTGTGCGCACTACAGGATAACGTAGTTTGACCCAATCAAGTAAGCTTCGGCTCATTACCTTGAGTATAGACCAAATAATGGAATTTTGGTCGTCATAAGCCCTCTCTTTAAGCCATCCACTGTAAGTTTACGCTGTGCAGCACTAAAGTGTTTTAGCACTCATGTTTGTGCTAGGTAAGCAAAAGTAGGATAAACGTTAGCGGAAGTTGAAGACAGAGCACTCCTTGGATCACCGGGCTACACCGAATGATATTGCCACCACCTTCTTGAGATTTACTAAGCAATAACTACCTACTGTTGAGACGGCTTCAGAAAGCATGGTGAAGCCTCCAGATACACTAGAGAAGTCGAAGAGATTCCATCCATTCAGAACATGATAAAGCTTTCTAGGATATCAACGTCGTATGCTACGATTGGACAATAGCATAACTTACGGATTGGTTGAATTACGATGACGTTATAGCCAACAGTAATAAATACAAATGCACATGTTTTTCTGTACATTTTCGATTCCTACCCAATAATCACTTTCGCTACTCCTTCCATCTTTTAATTTATGACTGCGAGTTTTTACACGTTCGAGTGCCGTCAATTTTATATCTTATTTTTCCGTAATCAAGTGGAGGACGTCACACTTACCAAGATCAAATAGTTCATTACAATATTCTGGCACTCATACGGACAGATAAAGCAAGGCTTTTCGAGTGAACCATTTCTAGTAGCGAAACTAACTCGACCAACAAAATATGTTAGTGCTTATCAACTCCTTGTATGTGCTTAGACTTTTATTATCGGTTATTGATTCCGATATGATTAAATGGTGGTTGTGCTGGTAAAATATTTAGTCTACTTAGCCTTGCACATCTAACAACGAATGACATTTATACATAGCAGAAACAGTAAGTCATATTGGATTGTGTACATTTCAAACACACATAGAATTCGGCAAACTAGACGAAATTGAGTAGGTAAAGAGAGCATAGGTTCCTGAAGCCTATTCGGTGACTGTTGGGTGATCTGGTTCTCAGGCGAGGTGAATAAAGTATGAATTATAGGTAGGTAATAAGAGAATACATGACAAACACACAGAAGGTGAGCACGAGCAAAATATTGTCGAAGTTAACAGTGGTTATTCAATACATGTGACTAGTAGATTCGACAGGAATGAAGAGCTGTGAATATAGAAGCTGTGGAATGAAGGATATTGCCATGATTATGGATCAAGGGACTATATATATTTACATTAACAAAACGAACCTGGATTTGTTCAGAAAGAGGAAACAGAAAAGGCGAATAGTTTGTGATCTATATCTGTATGTGATTCAAGACGAAAGTGCCAACAATGCCATGCTGCCTAATCTATGATGCTCTGGCGTAGGTCAAACTGTGTGGAATGTAGGAGAGCTTAACTGTCCTCACAATAGACTCTGGTTACAGTCAGCGATTAAATAAGGGACTTTTGATACTCAAATACTTAGGGTACTGCCGAGAGGAGAGAACCATACTGGTGATGCTTCAATAATAATATTTTGCTGGAAAAATGTATTGATCCCCACCAAGTAATAACACCCGGAAGGATAAGATGATCGGAGTACTATCAAAATGACCACACCTGGAGTTCGTTCAGATAGTCCACATTGGGGATTTCGACATTCCATCCATGAATCTGAACAAGTAAAATACGACCTCTACATATTAGCTTCATAGGAGAGTTTCTGTATTTATTGAAAGTTCGAGACTGACTGAAAATTTAGGCGAAAACATGGGATATGGAAACGACAGGAAATCCTGGAAATTTGACTCCTTGCTATGGAATGATCAGTCGCTAGTCAACGACTTCCATGTCCGAACACAAATAGGGAGTAGTTATCGCGATGTGGTTACATACGTGATACCCTAAATTAGTAAGGGTGATCCCCATCCTTGACAAAGAAAGGCAGACTACATGGCCTTGGAGCATCTTCAAAACGCTCCATAACCACAAGCATGGTTTAGGCTATTAGTGAGCGACCTATAGAAGACATGGAGTGATATCATTCAGGGAGCTATCCTGTATAACGTGTTCAGGCCTAAGTGATACACAGTACCTTTGCTACAGACAAAAAGGAGAGACAGGTACAAATGGAAAGTTTCTCCGAAGGAGTCTGACCGCTGCTCATAGTTTGTATTGAGAAATAGATGCACCGGAGAAAATCCAAAACGATGGCGGATGTAGTTTCTAAAATGCGAAATAACACGAAATATCTGTGATTAACAATCAGACGAAGCTTAAAATACATAGGGTCCTGTCCTTTCAAAGCTCCTAGTGGTGACGATCTTATCAACCAAGAGATGGCATAAATCTTCGCTAATCACTGGAATCTGGGGTCAACGAGTGTGAAACACTCTTCAACTCCAGTGTCAGATGATGGCCTGTGAAATATCCATCTAATTCCAGGACTGACACTAAGAGGATTAAAATCCTTGTACCCAGGCAAGTCTCTTAGAAGCTACAACACCGAAACTGGAATCCTGAAACAGTTCACGCAATTCAGTAAACAAATATATGACCTCTTTAGGCTTCCACTATAGTCACATCAACTTGCAAAAGAATGGAAAGTGACTACTCTTTCTAATCTTCATACGAAATAAGAAAGACAATCTGCTACAGATCAAAAAGATTGCTTTCGATACTATCGAAGATGATAGAAGGACTGGTGGATGACCGAATGAGGTGATACATTGAAAAAAAACTTCCTCCATGAAGCTCAGTCAAGGTTTGGAGGGAACAGATCCTGAGCATTTACTCTCTTCACACTATAGAACAACTGGACTACCAAGTAAGACCAAAAAACATCGGTTCGTAAGATATTTATTGA